CTTTGAACCTAGCAGACTAGCAGGGCCGGACAAAAAGTGAAATTACAAAGATTACAAAAACAAATAAAAAGAGAAGTGTTCATGCACCGTCTCTATTGCCACTTGGTATTATTCTATCTTCTAGTTGCCATATAAGCCAATTACATTTCAATGGACCACCATTATAGGCTCACCCCCACTCAATTGATTTTTAAAACCCAAATCTTTATAAAACTACTTTATTAGTTTGGTAAATCCAGAATCCTCTTGAGCTTTTGTAAATTATCTTCCTAAACTTTCTTACTTTTATGAGTATTAGGCACACAGCCAGTTCCCAAAATGTGTTAGTAATCCTGGAATGATTGAATCCGAATATGCCTTCTTACCAAATTTTATGCTCGCCCATCTTCTATAAATTATTTGACTAACTACGATAAACTGTGTGCCAATAGATAAACTGAATTCCTTGTATTAGTTACAACCAAATCTCATAGTATTTGGAAACCTTAGAAAGCTAGTTTGCAGAAAATTGATTTTCGAATTTATTTATCTTCGAAATTGGTCGGATGCTATAGTGAACAGTGCACTTACTGCTATTGGAAAAGAGTTAATTAGATAAATATCAATATAAAAAGCCAAAATCAAATAAATGGTGATAATGTGACTTACTGTTACCAACTAGATAAAATTTCAGATTTTATTCTTTGATAAAACTTAATACGCTATTTTATTGAATGTACCTTAAAAACTATAATTTTTTATATTCTCGTGAGTAAATACATTACTATTTAATATTTTCAAAGTAATAATATAGAACGTTAAAATAATAGATAAGACGTTTATACTTTACACAACGGAAATATAGAAATCTATTGGATAAATAAAATCACACAAACTGCATACACACCACCTACAATATTTTTAACGACGCCTATCTATTTGGATTCATCTGAACTGTTTGAATTTTTTTTGAAGTGAAGATAGATTAACATATCTATTAAATTATTTTTAGAGTCCGATAATTATTAGAATGTTCAAATATATGGTCCACAAATATCAAATGTGTAGAAGAAAATAATATCTTCAATTTTTATTAGTAATATATACACAATGAAAAGAGTTTCCTATGTGGCCAAAAGAAGTTTTCTTTTTGTTTCAGTGC